GGAAGATTGATCAATCTCTCGCTTTCTCTCTGCTGCTCAAATAAAAATAAGTAAACTTTAAAAAATAAATTATACTCAATATCTTCTATTATAAAGAAGGAAAATTTGTGTGGTGGGAACATGGGTTTAATTAGTTTCTACATTTTTTATGCTCTTATCTCTAAATTTAAGAGGTAGATAATGCATTTTATAATTCTTTATTTTAATTTTTTATTTATTTATTTTTGACAGGCAGAGTGGACAGTGAGAGAGAGAGACAGAGAGAAAGGTCTTCCTTTGCCGTTGGTTCACCCTCCAATGGCCGCCAGGGCCGGCGCGCTGCGACCGGCGCACTGCGCCAATCTGATGGCAGGAGCCAGGTGCTTCTCCTGGTCTCTCATGGGGTGCAGGGCCCAAGCACTTGGGCCATCCTTCACTGCACGCCCTGGCCACAGCAGAGAGCTGGCCTGGAAGAGGGGCAACCGGGACAGAATCTGGCGCCCCAACCAGGACTAGAACCCGGTGTACTGGCGCCACAAGGCGGAGGATTAGCCTAGTGAGCTGCGGCGCCAGCCGCATTTTATAATTCTTAACATTGAAATAAATTAAAATTTTTAAAGATCTATTTATTTATTTGAAAGTCAGAGTTACAGAGATAGACAGACAGAGAGAAATCTTTCATCTGCTGGTTCACTCCTGGAATGGCTGCAGTGGCCAGAGCTACTAATCTGAAGCCAGGAGCCAGGAGCTTCTTCTGGGTCTTCTTCATGGGTACTGGGGCCCAAGGAATCAGAACATTCTTTGCTGCTTTCCCAGGCACTTTTGCAGGAAGTTGGATTGGAAGTGGAGCAGCCAGGACTCGAATTGAGACCCAGATGGGATTCAAATGCTGCAGGCAGTGGCTTTACCTGCAATGCCACAGCACCAGCCACAACAAATTAAAATTTTAAAATGTTAAAGTTCTTTAGGAGTAATCCCATATGGGATGCCAGCACCGCAGGCACAGGATTAACCTAGTGCGCCACGGCACCGGCCCCTTGTGAATATTTTTAATAACCCTCCAACAGTATTCCAAAATACATTATTAAGAGATACAGAGGTTTGAGACAAGCATCATAGGTGGTTCAGTCTTCAAAAGAGAACATGGCCACCCTGACTCATCAATGGCAGAATTATAGAGTTGGGAGTTATGGGTTTCTCCAATTATAACTAGAGGGATTGGTAACCTCGGACCTATTGACTGCATGCTGAGTTATAGTTTTGTCTATTACTATACTTTATTAATTAAATATTTCAACTAAATTAGAAGTAACAAAAGTTTTTTAAAGATTTATTTATTTACTTACTTACTTGAAAGACAGTTACAGATAGAGGCAGAGAGATGTCTTCCATCTGCTGGTTCACTCTCCAGATGGCCACAACAGCCGGAGTTGAGCCAATCCAAAACCAAGAGCTTCTTCTGGGTCTCCAACACAAGATCAGGGGCCCAAGGACTTGGGCCATCTTCTACTGCTTTCCAAGGCTACAGCAGAGAGCTGGATTGGAAGTGGACTAGCTGGGACTCCAACCAGCAGCCATATGGGATGCTGGCACTGCAGACTGTGGCTTTACCCACTATGCCACAGCACTGGCCTTGAAGTAACAAAATTTAATCTTGCCACTTGCAAGGATAGAAAATCCCTACCCATTGATCTTTTGTCATTAAGGAATGTTAACTTCAGTGTTCCACATTGACTTCAGCCAAGCTCTTACAATGCAGATACAGCCATGGGAGTTTTCTTGAGCTCCAGAGCCCAAATATGTGCTCAGAATTCAGCCAGAAGCTGATCCTATAAACAGCACTAAATTCCCAGTGCATACCATTGGTTTGATATGGTTGTTATACTGAGATTGTGAACATCTGGTTCTTTTATTTTACCAGTCTGTGGGTATGTGGATATTATTCTACAAAGAAGTGCTTAAATTGAAGAAATACCAGACTGACAATAAATAATTCAAATAAATTATGTCATGGTGTTTATATGTGGTCCTATCTGCTAAGCATTAATAGCACTTTGGCCCTGTTTATTCATTATCTGAACACATTTATTTAAATATATTCCCTCCTCATTTTGCCAGGAATCATTTTCTTTACTATCTCAACATGTATATTTTTATTTTTTAATGAGGTAATTACAAAGAACCAATCCTTTTTTTTTCTTTTTTTTAACTTTTATTTAATGAATATAAATTTCCAAAGTACAGAATATGGATTACAATGGCTTCCCCCCCATAACGTCCCTCCAACCCGCAACCCTCCCCTTATCCACTCCCTCTCCCCTTCCATTCACATCAAGATTCATTTTTGATTCTCTTTATATACAGAAGATCAGTTTAGCATACATTAAGTAAAGATTTCAACAGTTTGCTCCCACACAGAAACATAAAGTGAAAAATACTGTTTGAGTACTAGTTATAGCATTAAATCTCAATGTACAGCACACTAAGGACAAAGATCCTACATGAGGAGTAAGTGCACAGTGACTCCTGTTGTTGACTTAACAAATTGACACTCTTGTTTATGGCATCAGTAATCACCCTAGGCTCTTGTCATGAGCTGCCAAGGCTATGGAAGCCCCCTGAGTTCACTGGCTCTGATCATATTTAGACAAGGCAATGGTCAAAGTGGAAGTTCTCTCCTCCCTTCAGAGAAAGGTACCTCCTTCTTTGATGACCCGTTCTTTCCACTGGGATCTCACCCGTGGAGATCTTTCATTTAGGTTTACAAATAACCAATCCTAACTCCTAGTTCTGCATGTTTGATCATCTAGATACACAGATTGAAAACAAGGCAAAAATACTATTTGCCATAGTTAAGCATCTGCCAAACTCAATGGAATTCATCTACAAATTTTATGGACTGAAGGGCAGATAGGGAGAGATAAAGACAAAGGCCAAGGTGACACAGAAGCCCACCCAGCTCTTCAGAGTGAAACTTCTGAAGAAAAGGGAATATACTAATAATGTTTATAAAAGAAGACCCACCTTAGCTATTTAGGACAATTCTCCTTGAAAAAGCCAAATAGAGAATAGTCGTTCAAAAACTTTGCTGGGTTATGTGACAGAGGCACATGGCTTATCCAATCAGCACTTTGACCAAATCTGGGATTTTGAGAAAGTGAGGCAAAGTTCTAAGGAAGATAGCGATTAGCTAAAGTTACGGCGACAGAGGCAGTAAGTAAGTGGCAGCATCAGGGCAGCAACCATGCATTAGCAGCAGTGTTAATGGCTGTGTTTTCAGCTGCCTGGTTTCACTAGGTTCTCACATATTTTCTGAGTATGATTCCTCAGGCTTGTGAGCCATTCTTCTAAATACACTTCTAATGTGTATCACTTCTTCTACTTAAATTATCAACAGAATTAAAAAATCAACAGGGTTGATTTCTGTTGTTTTCCACCAAGTATCTCACTGACATAATCTTTCCCTAAACTCAGATATATTCAATAATCAAGCTACATTATTCTAGCTGGAAGAGAAGTCTCCCAGGAAAGACCAAATCAAAACAAAAGATGATAATCTAGTTGCTATAGATTAGGGATCTATCCAGGGTCCTGACCTCTATGACACATAATATTCTATGACTTTGAAATCTATGACCTTGAAACGATCATTATGATCCTAATATTCCTGCCTCATACCTTCTTAAGGCTCATCCTTATGATGATAATTCACTGCCACTCCAAAAACCTGTCTTGAGTCTTCATGGTCCAGTCACACCCTGAATAATTCACATCAAGAAGAAACATGACCCTCTTTGTCCAAATCATAAAACTAAAATTAGTATAGTAGTTTGTTGGAGTTAACAGTGAGGAACAAAAAGCCAGATCCTAGGAGTTCACAATTAGCATCTGCTTTTGGTAAAAATCATGTCTTTGTTTTCATAGAAATCTCGTCACTTTTTTTTTTTTTTTCAGTAAATACGAGAGTGCTTCAAAAAGTTCATGGAAATTCACATTATCTTCTTATTCCATTTTCTAACAAATGCTTTGAAATCCTTCATACACATTAAGCATGTACAACAATCCCAGTATTTTGTTCGTGGCTCTGGTTGCTGTAAAAAAATAGTCCCCTACCAGAAGCCCCTACAGTAAGATCTTAATTTGAGAGCTGGCTTACTTAATTTCTGTGTGTGAATTCAGACAAATATTTTAATGCCTAAAGTCTCTGTTTCTTCATCTATAAATCAGAGGTAGCACTCATCTGTCCTTCCTGCCTAACTGGTTTTATAAAGATCCAATAATATCTGCTACCAATAGGAGAGCAAAATGTTATTGCAGGCACTTGGAAACAAGAAAATTAAGATCACTCTTTAAGAATTAAGTCATTAAATCAAGACATAAAGAATCAGAACCAAGCTAAATACTGCCTCCTTAAGACAGAATAAATTGCAGCTCAACACAAGTGAACAATAACCTGATTAAACCATATTTAAAAATTTAACAATTAGATGAGGCAATAGTAAAATGGATTGTCAAAAAAGACAAAATTCAGAAATGCAAACACTAGGAATAGTATCAGAGAAATTTAGCTGAAGAACTTCAGTTATAATTGTTGCATTAATAAGATACAAAGATAACAAAGATAAAAATATCAGATTTAGTAAACTTCTTAGTCCCATCACTGCCAAGAAAACACCTAGAGATGTTTAGACTTCTAAGATATGTCTGTTTTGAGGATGATGCTCAAATGTGAATTCTTGTCAATGTGATAACTATAGTTCACACAGGACAATCTGTCACATAGATTAGACTCATAATCTTGGCTTCCCTGATCCCACTTCTGAGGGTGAATTGTTGACAAAATCAGAATTCCAAGCCTATCAGATTGAGGGCTAAATCCTAAAACCACCAAGGTGATACCATACTGGGATTTCTCAGGAAAGGCAACCAACACTGTAAATTCAAACTTTCAGAGTTTAATTTTTTGTTGAACAACTCTTATCCCAATTCACTCGAGCTTGATTTTTAAGAATTGCTAGTATATGGCTCTGAAAAAAATTATTCCACAGTGCATTTCAAGAGATTTCACAGATCTGATTGTTATTAATGAAGATCGTAAAACACCAAATGGACTGATTTTGAGTCACTTGCCAAATGGTCCAACTGCTCATTTTAAAATGAGCAGTGTTCGTCTTCGTAAAGAAATTAAGAGAAGAGGCAAGGACCCCACAGAACACAGACCTGAAATAATTCTGAATAATTTTACAACACGGCTAGGTCATTCTATTGGTCGTATGTTTGCTTCTCTCTTTCCCCATAATCCTCAGTTTATTGGAAGGCAAGTTGCTACATTCCATAATCAGCGGGATTATATCTTCTTCAGATTTCACAGATACATATTCAAGAGTGAAAAGAAAGCAGGAATTCAGGAACTTGGACCACGTTTTACCTTAAAATTAAGATCTCTTCAGAAAGGAACCTTTGATTCTAAATATGGAGAATATGAATGGGTCCATAAGCCCCGGGAAATGGACACAAGTAGAAGAAAATTTCATTTGTAAAGTACTGAGGGGATAACTTGGATTTTGCTGAACAGGCCTATCTTGAACTTGGTAAATTATTTCTGATGGAATACCCTTTTCAAAATGGCATTTACTGATTTCAAAAACTCCCTTTCATGTCTGGACAAAAATGACTAAGTACCCTGGACTGCCATTGTTTATATAGTAAATGTAAGTCACTTAGGTTTAATAAACCTTTTGTTTCATAATAAAAAAAAAAAAAAAAAAGAATTGCTAGTATAGAGATGAGTATTGTGGCACAAAAGGCCAAGCAATCACTTAGGAAGCCTGCATCCAATATCAGAGTGCCTGGCTTGTGTCCTGGATACTCTGTTCCCAACCTAGCTTTCTGCCAAGGCACCTGGGAAGGCAGCATATGATGGCTCAAGTGCTTTATCCCCTGGCACCCACACAGACCTGAATGGAGTCCCAGTCTCCTGATTTCAGCTTGGCCAAGCCCTTGCCGTTGTGGCATTTGGGGAGTGAATCAACAGAATGAAGAATGTGCGCTCGCTCTTGTTCTCTCTCTCGCTCTCCCCCCTTCTCTGTCACTCTTCTTCTCAAATAAATAAATGAAAAGAATAGGTAATATGTAGGAACTTCAAAAAATGTAGAAAAATAGAATTAAAAGATTAGTTTATTTTGGTTTATAAAGCTTTGAAATTCATGCACAGTTCTGTCATAATATGCATTTTCCATGAATAGGAAGAATGCATCCTTTCATGTGGAGAATTATTTCTTTTTACTCTCCAACAACTACTTCTAGTGGAAGTTGACTTAATACCACATCCCATGGGGCCGGTGCTGCGGCACAGCAGGTAAAGCTGCCGCCCACAGTGCCAACATCCCATATGGATGCCAGTTTGAGTCCCGGCTGCTCCACTTCCAATGCAGCTCTCTGCTGTGGCCTGAAAAGGCAGTAGAGGATGGCCCATATTCTTGGGCCCCTGCACCTAGGTGGAAGACCCAGAGGAAGCTCCTGGTTCCTGGCTTAGGATGGGCCCAGCTCTAGCCATTGCAGCCATTTGGGAAGTGAACCAACAAATAAAGACTTCTCTCTATTTTGCCTCTGCCTTTCTGCAACTCTGCCTTTCAGAAAATAAATATATAAATCTTTTTAAAAAATTAAAAACAGAATACCCCATCCCCTTGTTTCTGCTTATTGGTCAAGGATTGGGCACATGATCTTAAAACCAAGGCAATAAATGTTCATTAATGGAATTTTTCAATTAATCTTACCTAAAAGTGATGGCAATCATCTTCTAGTCACACCTAAATTGGTAGCTTAACCATGTGAGAATATTTACTCAACAGAATTCCAAAATTTTAATTCTCCATTCCATGGGCTGTTTTTCCTCCATTCACTGCTTTGTCCTGTCCCACTCTACCACTTTACAATACCTTCCTCAATGCCTCATCCCAATGCAAAGAAAACCAGTTATTCCCCTTTGGCAACTAGCAGTTCACAATTTGCAACTGTTCATCCATGCTCATTTAAGACATAGTTTCTGTTATTTGAATTTGTCCCCAGAAAAGCATGTATTGGACATTTAATCCCCAAATGAAACAACACTGGGAGCTGGGGCCTAATGAAATGTGATTATGCCATCTTCCCTATGAATGGGTTAATGACATTATTACAGATATATGTTCATTTCCATAGGAGTGGATTCTTTATAAAAGGACAAGTCAGTCTGCCTCTCTTTGTCATTCTTCCATGGGATAAAACAGGAAAAAGCCCTTGAGACATTTAAAAAATTACTTATATTATTTCGCATATTTCAACAGGTGTCACATTCACTTAAAAGAAACACTCAAAGCTTAGGTAAAAACCAAATGATATCAGCAGGAAAGCAGTACAACAAAAATACAGAGCCAGATGCAGGAAGAAATGCTACACCACTGACATAAAAAGAGGAAAAATGATAGTATAAGTTTCTTAAAAAGTAAGCAGAAGTAGTTTTCGATGTAACTTTTTTTTAACTTTTACTTAATAAATATAAATTTCCAAAGTACAGCTATGGATTACAATGGCTTTCCCCCCCCCCCATAACTTCCCTCCCACTTGCACCCCTCCCATCTCCCACTCCCTCTCCATTCCATTCACATCAAGATTCATTTTCAATTATCTTTATATACAGAAGATCAGTTTAGCGTATATTAAGTAAAGATTTCAACAGTTTGCACCCACATAGAAACACAAAGTGTAAAATACTGTTTGAGTACTAGTTATAGCATTAATTCACATTGAACAACACATTAAGGACTGAGATCCTACATGAGGAGTAAGTGCACAGTGACTCCTGTTGTTGACTTAAAAAAAATAACACTCTTGTTTATGGCATCAGTAATCTCCCTAGGCTCCTGTTATGACTTGCCAAGGCTATGGAAGCCTTTTGAGTTCGCCGACTCTGATCTTATTTAGACAAGGTCATAGTCAAAGTGGAAGTTCTCTCCTCCCTTCAGAGAAAGGTACCTCCTTCTTTGATGGCCCATTCTTTCCACTGGGATCTCACTTGCAGAGATCTTTCATTTAGGTAGTTTTTGGGGTGTTTTTTTTTTTTTTTTGCATAGTGTCTTGGCTTTCCATGCCTGAAATACTCTCATGGGATCTTCAGCCAGATCTGAATGCCTTAAGGGCTGATTCTGAGGCCAGAGTGCTGTTTAGGACATCTGCCATTCTATGAGTCTGCTGTGTATCATGCTTCCCATGTCGGATGGTTCTCTCCCTCTTTGATTCTATCAGTTAGTATTAGCAGACACTAGTCTTGTTTGTGTGATCCCTTTGACTCTTAGACCAATCATTATGATCAGTTGTGAACTGAAACTGATCACTTGGACTAGTGAGATGGCATTGGTACATGCCACCTTGATCTGATTGAATTGGAATCCCCTGGCACGTTTTGAATTCTACCATTTGGGGCAAGTCTGATTGACCATGTCCCAAACTGTATATCCTCCCTCTCTTATTCCCACTCTTATATTTAACAGGGAACACTTTTCAGTTAAAATTTCAACACCTAAGAATAATTGTGTGTTAATTACAGAGTTCAACCAATAGTACTAGAAGAAAAAAAATACTAAAATGGATAAAGTATTACATCAACAATGTTAAGTTGGGGGCTGGCATTGTGATTTAGCAGATAAAGCCACCTTTGATGCCAGCTTGTATTCCTGCTGTTCCATTTCTAATCCAGCTCTCTGCTAATGGCCTGGGAAAAGCAGTGGGCACCTGTCATCCATGTCGGAGACCAAGAAGAAGCTCCTGGCTTCAGCCAGGGCCATCCCTAGACTTTATGGCTGTTTGGGGAGTGAACTATCAGATGAAGATTGATTTTTTTCTCTCTTTCTCACTCTGTAACTCTGTACTTTGACTTTCAGATGAATAAATGAATCTTAAAAAAGTTATGTTGATCAGTGACAACTAACCGAGCACCAAAATGAAAGACTGTTGAAGTGAAGTTGACACTATGAGAAACGGTGACTTGATCAGTCCTTCTCCTGACTGTTGATGTACAACCTAATACTTTATCCCTTTTAGTATTTTTTTTTGTTCTACTTAATACTATTGGATGAACTCTGTAATTAACACACAATTATTCTTAAGTGTTGAAATTTAACTGAAAAGTGATCTCTGTTAAATATAAGAGTGGGAATAAGAGAGGGAGGAGATGTACAATTTGGGACATGCTCAATCAGACTTGCCCCAAATGGTAGAATTCAAAACGTGCCAGGGGATTCCAATTCAATCAGATCAAGGTGGCATGTACCAATGCCATCTCACTAGTCCAAGTGATCAGTTTCAGTTCACAACTGATCATAATGATTGGTCTAAGAGTCAAAGGGATCACACAAACAAGACTAGTGTCTGCTAATACTAACTGATAGAATCAAAGAGGGAGAGAACCATCCGACATGGGAAGCATGATACACAGCAGACTCATAGAATGGCAGATGTCCTAAACAGCACTCTGGCCTCAGAATCAGCCCTTAAGGCATTCAGATCTGGCTGAAGATCCCATGAGAGTATTTCAGGCATGGAAAGCCAAGACACTATGCAAAAAAAAAAAAAAAACACCCCAAAAACTACCTAAATGAAAGATCTCTGCAAGTGAGATCCCAGTGGAAAGAATGGGCCATCAAAGAAGGAGGTACCTTTCTCTGAAGGGAGGAGAGAGAGAACTTCCACTTTGACTATGACCTTGTCTAAATAAGATCAGAGTCGGCGAACTCAAAAGGCTTCCATTGCCTTGGCAAGTCATAACAGGAGCCTAGGGAGATTACTGATGCCATAAACAAGAGTGTCATTTTTTTAAGTCAACAACAGGAGTCACTGTGTACTTACTTCTCATGTGGGATTTGTCCTTAATGTGTTGTTCAATGTGAAGTAATGCTATAACTAGTACTGAAACAGTATTTTACACTTTATCTTTCTGTGTGGGTGCAAACTGTTGAAATCTTTACTTAGTATATACTGAATCGATCTTCTGTATAAAGATAATTGAAAATGAATCTTGATGTGAATGGAATGGGAGAAGGAGCGGGAGATGGGAGGGGTGCGAGTGGGAGGGAAATTATGGGGGTGGGGGAAGCCATTGTAATCCATAGCTGTACTTTGGAAATTTATATTTACTAAATAAAAAAGGAATATTAAAAAAAAACACATTTTAAATGATTTACAATAGAGGTGGGTATTCAGAACAGTAGTTAAGACACCACTTGAGAATGCCTGGGTTCAAGTCCCAACTCAATTTCCATTTACAGCTTCCTGCTAAGGCATACCCTGGGAGTACCAGGTGATGGCTCAGCAGTTGGATTTCTGCCACCCGCATGGGAGGCCTGGAGCTCCAGGACACTTGGGCAGTGAATCAGCAGACAGGAGAACTCATGGTCTCAGGTGTGCACACATGCTTTCTCTTGTCTCTGTCTCTGTCTCTGTCTCTGTTTCTCTCTCTCTCTCTCTCCCTCCCTCCCTCCCCCTCCTCCTTCCTTCCCTACTTCCCTCCCTCCCTCCATCCTTCTTTCTCTCCCTTCCTCTCTTGGCTCTCAAGTAAAAAGTAAATAATTTTTAAAAGTAAAACCAAAAATTATTTTTATAATATAATAAAATTATAAATATGGTCTAAGTTTTGGTTGTGAGATCATATTCTTTTAGATCTCATCCATCCAAAAGTCACAGTAAATTGAGTTGGTTTTACTGAGTTCTTTGAAA